GTGAGTATAAAGCCATTCATCTGGTCTCAAGCAAGTCTCATTGCGGACCAATTGTGGAGTAAAAACCAAGCTTTGGTAAGTAATGGTTTCCTCGTCAATCAAAAATTTACAAACCTTACTCAGAACAGTCAATCTTAGTTGCGATTCGTTGGTTACTTTCTCGTGTTTCAGAGCTCAACAAATTGCATCTTAAACAAAAGAAGTAAGATTCTTCATTATTATTTTTATGGGGCTTTTCAAGTTTATCTTGACGTTTGACAAAGCGCAATTATATGCGACCAGGTTGGTTTTTTTGCTCAAAACGCGTTTCAAGCTTGATTCTACATTTTCCCTTTATCAAAGCCAGACACAATCCACTATACCAGACTATACAAATACTCTGCAAGCGCCTTCCACGCTTCAGTTGAAGGTTAAATCGTAAATAACTTTAAGATGAACCAGTTCCCTATCTTAATCATGTTAATGTTTTCAACGTCAGTTTTCACAGTTAATATTTGAATATTTGAGTAGGTGGATTATAAAATGGGATATCTGCCGATACTTGTTTGTATACCAAATTAGAATCATCAAACTGACTGGGATGGCTGCTAATACTTGTTTGTTTACCTAATTTGAATAATCAAACTGACTGCTCAAGTGATTGTTGAGTCAAGTTTGTACTGCTCAGCCAGCATAAAGATTGTTCTGTCTCTGCCAGCCGGTCTTTTGAAAAGAAATTCTCAGAAACCATGCTACAAATTTACGAAGTTCCCTACCTTCTTTGTGTGATTATGCTGATGATTCTCTTTTTCCTGATCAAAATGGAAGGACCATTGCCCGCCAGGGAACCAGCGGAGAATAATGAACCTCGTGGATCTGTAAGAAGATCTGAGTTGAACAGAAACGGAGCGAGGAGATGGGCCGGAGAAAGTGAAAACCGCAGTATTCGACAAAGAAGAAATTATCCCACAGAAAACGATGAACGGGAGCACTGAGAAATGGTTGCTGTTTTATTTTTTCTCTCTAAGTCTATTTATAGGTGGGAACTGAAAACTTTGCTAAATTAAAATTAGCTAAGTTCGTACATCTGCATGAAATTAACATCCCTTGTTCAAAATTGCTCGTTCTATACAGTTATCTATTCTCTGTAGGAAATATTTGTGAAAAACTTATTACCTTCATTTTCCTGTATAGGTCATGAAAAAAGGAAAGAATTAAGTGGACGTTGTCAGAGGACATTCGGCATGAAGCCTGAAGCCCCATTTCAGGCTTAAAGATCTTCAAGTTAATTGATCGTTTACGAGATAAGCAGGAAAACAGAGACAAAGATAATCAGTTTTCCTATCATTAGTTTTATGCAGTGAATTTTATTGAAGTGTAAAGTTTTCTTTTTGTCAGAGTAATACGCACTTAATTGAAGTATAGCTATCATTTTATAATCTCTTGTAGTTATAAAAGTTCAAGCTTGATCGAGGCCAGCGTTTTGGCTCATTGTACGCCGGGGTGTTTAAGTAAAGTTAAAATGAGAGATGGAGTTTGCATAGACGGTTATCAAACGCTAATATTCATTGGCCGTTTTTATGCTAGAGACGTTAAAGTTGTCTAAGACGTTAAAGTCGTCTCGAGACGACTTTAACGTCAAGTATAAAAACGGGATATATAGTGACAACAAAATTACTCGAACTTAAATCGCGACAAGGCTATCAAGTACTCGTTGCTTCTAAATTTATTTTTTGCCTTAAAAGAGGTTCCAAATTTGATTTCAGCTAAATCTTTTTCTTTTCAGCTGAATGGTCGAGCTCATGATTGTGCCCTGAGTTGGCATAGAATACTATTGTTTCGGCACAATAATGTATGCAAGACGCTGTAATATAGATGTTGCACTAGATAACTCGCTCTACATTACAAGACAATCACTCAGTGAACAAAAGTAAATGTCTAATACACTTGAAGAAAAACCTGAAAAACGAATGCTCTACACATAATTACTTTGCACATTTTGTCAGAGTATTAAATTTGTAATTCCGTCTGGTGTTGTGTCAAATGTTATGCCTAGTCAACCGTTCGGAAATCACGTTTTTATTTTCGTGTTGGCAACTGCACCTGAAAGAGGCTAGCAGAACTATAAATCAAACTCGTGGAAGCCCTGACAACGATCTACTAATAAAAAACACATAGAAAGTTGAAGCCTAAGTGAAGCAGTAAACCACAACACATCTGAAAGCCAAGGTTGACAAAAGGGCAGAGAGATATTTCATTGCTAAACAAACTACTTGAGGAGTACAATTTTGATGTATAACCCTGAAATGGCACCTTAAACCTCAGACCTTATGCTCACACTATCAAGTTGGTTGTAAGAATGACTTTACGCCATTTCGTAGAACATTCTCGGCCTAAATTGAGGTATTGGTTTTCGGACACTATTTTGATTAATTAAGAAGGTAGGACCACCTTGAATATTCCATATTTCTTTGCTATTAATGCATCATCAATCATGTAGAATCGAAGAATTTAGCACAAATAACCGCACTTATACTTGATTTTGTTTGTTGTTGACATTTTAACGACACTCAAAAAGCTGCCTTATTTCCTAGCGGTCTATCAAATTGACTTCGCTCAGTTCTGTGTTTCACATTTTCATATATTCCTCTAACTAAAGACAAGTGTCTTTAATCTGACTTTCGGTCAAGAAAAAACGTAAAAGGAAAAACACAAACAAGCACTCAAATATGCACTGGAGGTTATCAGAGGTTACTCCGCAGGCACGAAACCGCTATTTTATAATTATTAATACATAACTGAAATTTCTTAGCAAGGAAGGAGTTTCGAGCCAGTTTGGACAGGTTACTTAACGTACATACCAGAAGAAAAAAAAGCGAGATAATTTAGTAAAGAAAGAGAGGGAGAAAGAGAGGAAGAAGGAAATATCTCAAAACAACCAGGTTAATAGTATTCATATATTCTAGGCAGCATTAGTTAAAGAACTAATGAGTACTGAAGTCAGGTTGAACTCCTTATTATGTGAAGGTTAATTGCGGTTCAAAGCTGTTCACGAATTTGGTGCGAAATTTAACATATTTTATCGAAGTTTGGTTCTAGTCAGGAGTAACACAATTCTTGAATCCTTTCACACATTTTTCGTGTTTTCGCAAAGGAAATGCCTTTGAAATAATTTAGTGACAGTTTCTATCTGTCCAAACTAGCAACAGGGTAAATACCCATCGCGTAGCAACAGTTACGGTTACGATCCTAACTGGTGGAAAGGTTTGCTCTGGGACCGACAGAACATTGCAAGTGTAATCATCGTCTGCTGTTTCCAAGTGTCGGCGAATATTTAGAAGAAAGAAGATTTAGCAATTAAACTTTGGATCTAAGTTCAACGTGCTTGCATAGAAGATATGCTGAAAATTTTCAGTTTTCTAAAACACTTGCATGAAAGATTCTGCACAATGAATTCAGTTTTGCCCACGCGATATGTTAGATGGATTTGACGTTTATTTGACGTTTATGGTTCAGTTGAGCTTTCAAACTGTGAATTACGCATTCCTTAGCTTCTTTCCTTTGTTGGTTTTTGTTTTGTGTATTCTGCATTGCGGTTGCGTTTGTTAAGTTCTTAAATAGACACAGGCAAGGGAGGAGTTTTGAGCCAGTTTGGACAGATTACTTAACGTGCATACCAGAAGAAAAAAAAAGCGAAAAGGTCACGGAAGCTTTCTCTTTTGTAAAATCAGATGATCAGTATATCGTAAGAAACCTTTATCAGCTCCAAACACATATCAATTAGATCCCTGGAATCCATTTAACAGTTTTCTGCGTAACTGATTTCTTACAGAACATGATATCATATTATAACATCTAGAAGTATCTCTGTTCTTTGTTGAGGGTCTGAATGGGGGGGTCAAAATGTCGGTTGTCGGTTAAGATTTTTGACCTTTGTCGGTTGTCGGTAAATCTCAGTTAATAATTAAAAATACACGTTAATTATTCACATTTATTATGCAATTGGCCCAGTTTTAAGACTTTGAACTCTAGACGAAGTGTAATACTTGTAATAATTCATTATTTGTTTTCACTTAAACCTCGTTAACGCTGTTTTTTAATTTAGCAACGTGCTCATCTACCCCACTTTTGTTTGCAAATCTAGTATACCGATAAAATTCACCAAAGCTTTTATCATAGATGTGAATTGAAAACGTCATAGACAGGCCTACACAGACTCCCCTGTGTGGTTTTACGTTTGCGACGCAAAAGCCTTTAATTAAAGCTTCGCTCTGACGAGTATGTCTTTGAGCGATTTACCTCTTTTGTATGATATAATCGGAGGCGTTTTGTAAATTGTTTTCAGCAGTGACTGATTTTGGATGAGGTTCCATTCTTCCATCAGTATTTGTTTTAAATTTTTTAACCCCTGGGTGGTATGCTGTCACAAAAGGCAATATTTTGCCTTTAGTTTTTTTGGTTTGTTTTTTTTAAGTGTCGACTGCCTTGCGGCAAACGAGACCTCAGATAACGTTTTTTCAATTAGGCTTTTTGGGTAACCACGTGCTTCAAGTCGTGTTTTGAAGTTACACATAGCCTCCTGGAAATTTATTTCCGAGGAGTTTGTTCGTAGAAGTCTGATAGCTTCTCCTTTAATAAAGCCTTTCTAACTTTTTAAGATCTTCTTCCCTACCTGAGAAGATTGAGAATTTACAAATTTTTTGTTGTTTTCTGTGTTTTAAGCCATGATTTGGGCTTTAAAAATAGCTCCACGGTTTCTTTTACTAACGCTACAAGAAGACGGCGCGAACATTGGTTGTCTTGGTTTATTTTTAAAAATACATTTTAGCCCGGCAAATTCTTTATTTTAGCACGCAAAATGCGCCACAATGCCCATCAAAGTGATAATAATACAGTTTTTAGCCGGAATTTAAAAGAAACTATCTTTACATAGCGAACGCACCAAGTGAGCGTTTTTCGTTGTATAAACAAGGCAGTGTTTATAAACAAGGAATACCGCAGAATTTCCAAAGTAGCGAAATTTATGACTTTTGAAAATCAGGTAAACGAACTACAAGTGCTAATTCAGCCCTACCATCCTGAAACTTTTGAAGGTCTCCTTGTTGCCTTTCGTTGGATAATGTGTACTAAAATATTAAATACCGTGTGTTTTAAGTTTTCTCTTTAGTAGGCTTTTGAGAAACTTACATAGTTCTTATCAGCAAATGCTCGTCAAGATGTATAAAACGTGCACATCGAGCGAAATCTCTCGTGCTTAGCTTCCCTCGAGGAGACAATTGAATATTATTTGAACGTCTGGTTTTCAGAAACGAATAAATTTAAGGGCGTGTATAAATAAACGGGGTCTTTAATATGTTAAGCTACACTGTTTTTAATTCACCAATTAATCAGAAAGAAGCTTATAAACTGATTTACTCGCTACTTCTTTGTAGAGATTTTTCTTCTCAATTTTCGCACTAAATGGACGGTGAAAAAGAAAAAAAAAACATTCCGCTCCACAAAACAACAAACAAAAAACGGTGGAACCAGAGTTTAACCACGTTAATATTTGAGCTTAATATTTAACTACAGAACTAAGGTGATTCATCAAACTCCGCTGCACGCGTTCCACACTTACCGTTGAGCTCACTGCTACTTTCATCCGATATTAAATTTGGAAGTTCAAGCTGCCATTGCCCATCCGTCACAATTGCAAAATTTTCGCATTTGCCCGCAGGCGATTTCGCCAGGCGAAATAACTTTAACGAAAATCCGCCAATTCCATATTGATGTGCCTGCTCCTTTAGTCCTAAAAACTCCGTAAGATGTTTTTTTAGTTCAGATACTCCTCTATGAGCTTCTTTGTCTACTGGGACCCTGCTTCGATGACGTTCGATGGCGACTTCTTCACCTTTTCGAAAAAAAACTCACGATGACTTTAGCAATCCCAGTCATGACCCGACCGCATGAACAAACAACGAGCAATAAATAGACAATAGCAGGGCGTCTCGTTGGCTCGACTGTGATCCGCTGTTCTTGAAATGAGACAGCAGGGCGTCTTGTCAGCCCGATTACGAGCCGCTGTTCTAGAAATGAGCCCATGCTGCTCACCGAAAAGAAGGATCCCGTGGATTTAAAGTAATTTGAAGAAAAGAAATTCTATAATTCGGCTAAATTTGGAATTAATGTGGTTACGTCGGGTGAAGAAGGATTTTCTGAGCTAGAAATCATCAAAATGCTGTTCTTTCTGAATACAAACATCTCTATCACGTCTGACCATGTCAGTTGTCGGTTAGAATTTATTTGTCGCTAGTCGATAATTTTTTCCCCGTTTCGTCGGTAGTCAGTAATTTTTTACGCCCTTTGTCGCTAGTCGGTTAACCCCATTCACACCCTCTTTGTTAAATTCGCCCATCCTCATCGTAAATTGCTGTTATCAAATATGAAAAGAATCAAACGCTATTTCAGTCAAAATGCAAGAAAATCATGGCTACAACGCTGGATCTAAAAAGTATCAAGCCTCATAGCAATTTTACAACAAGCTCTTCCACATCTCTCGTGTTAACCGCCACCGTAAAGAGTTTCAAAGCTGACGTCAGCTTTGAAACTCTTAACGGTGGCCAATTTACGTGTTTACAGTTTACGTGTTTTGTTTTGTCTTTTCGTTGTTTTTTTTGTTTTTGTTTTCTCACGCTGTTGCATCCGGCAGTAGATTTTTTTTCTCACGCTGTTGCATCAGTAGAGAAAGCGGTAATCGCAACACATCTGAAAGCCAAGGTCGACAAAAGGGCTGAGAGATATTTCATTTGTTTCTCATTTTCATATATTCCTCTAGCTTAGGACAAGTGTCTTTAATCTGACTTTCGGTCAAGAAAAGACGTAAAAAGAAAAACACAAACAAGCACCCAAATATGCACTGGGAGTTTGGGAGGTTACTCTGCAGGCACGAAACCGCTATTTTCTAGAAAGATAGGAGTTTTGCGCCAGTTTGGACAGGTTACTTAACGTGCATACCAGAAGAAAAAAAAGCGAGATAATTTAGTAAAAAAAGAAAGAGAAAGAGAGGAAGAAGGAAATAGCTCATAACAGCCAGGGCCGAGTTGTTTAAAGCTGGGTTAAGATAACCAGGGGTTAGTGTGAAATTTGATTTTAGATCTGGAAGCTTGAAGAGCATAGGCACTGTGAGGTTCTCCGTGATATAGCCAAGTTCATTTTTTTAACTGATTTTAAGCATGGCGGCACTATAACTGCAGGTCACGGAAGCTTTCTCTTTTGTAAAATCAGGAAATGTTGTCCCCTTAGCAGTCTAATCTGTAGAAATGCCTTTATATAAAGATAGTCACTTAGGGCCCATTATTTACACGAGGTCTAACCCAAACCACAGTTGTACGCAATCAGCAGGCTTCACGCTGTCAGACGAAACTGATCGAAGAGACAGTCTGTCAAAAGTATTTTTGTTTTGTTTTGTTTTGTTTTTCTCTCACGCTGTTGCATCAGTGAATTCTTTCTTATTTCAATCTCTCAGCGAACAAAAGTAAATGT